TCATCCAATAAGAAATTACGTTCTTCTCTTCCTTGTCTTCCTTATGTCCGGCGAACTGTACCGAATTATCAGATTCTACAGACATAAGGCATGACAATGCAGATAATCCCGGGGGAAATTGTTTATTCTTGCATCATTATAATGGAATAAGCTAATAGTCAAATCCAAGCTGAATCCAAATCGTATAGGCAAAGTTTTAATTAGGAGAATCATTTAAATATAATTAAGTAAAATGAGCTTAATTAGAATTTAATTTAAAAAGGAGCAAAAACTCAAATTAGATTTGTGTTTTCAATAAAAAAACTGAAATTTTTTTGGTAGTGTATGCTCCTTCAATCAGAATGTTAAAAAGTAAATGAAAATTAATAGCTTATTTAGAAAGTGAATATATCCAAAATTTCTGAAAGTGATATATCATTAATTAGATTTATTTAATAAAAAGAATTGTGTTATAGTACTCTGAAAATATTTTGTTAGTATATAATTTTAGTGCATTAAATTATCCTTGAGATGAATTTTTATATGAAAATTAAATTAAAATTAAACTCATGTAAAATAAATTAATCAAAATCATGGATTTTCTTTTCCCATTCAGCAAAGTTATGCATTTACTATTTTCAGGTATTTTTATATGATATTAAAAAAAAAACTTCGTGAAAACATATTTAAAATTCTGGTCTATGTATCATTTAAGAATGACTTGTGCTTCAATTTTAGCTTGCTACTGAAGGTCCATTTCGTAAAAAATAGCTTTAGAATTGTTTTGAGAGAAAATTTTTTTAAAAGCTGTTATTAGTATGAATTTTGTTTTTCCTTATGAAAAAATCCAATAGCAACTTTCTTATAACTACCACAATATAGTAGATTATGTTGTAAAAAGCTGCTTTTCATCATAAAATGTTTTGAAAACATGAAGAAAATATTAGCTAAATAGCATGTAGTAGTGATTTGAAAAGCAATATAGTGAAAAAGCTACCGCAAATGGACTCTTAGATGTTTGAGTTCATGTTCTTTCTTACACAGCCATGATTTTTAGTTGCAATTCAAAATCTTAAATCATTCAGAGGAATATGCTCAGAATACATTGATGTCTTATGCAAGCGTAAAGGAAAAATAATTTTATGGTCGTTATTCTTCTTATAATTGTATTTGTTTTTAGTATAACAGTGATGGGATAATATATCATCTTCCTTGATTAAGTTTTCCAATGTGCAGTTTACGTTATCATCTACTACATCCTGACTACTTGTATTATCGAATAAGGGAGTTGCAAAAGGTTTTCAAGCTTCGTGTCATTTTGTGTCATATTGATGTGGTAAGCCCTTAAGATTGTTTCATGATTATAACTTTACATACTTTGAAGTTTACCATTTGTTTTTGCTCAAGTTCATTATGAAGGCAGTGGTTATTAAGCATTAAGATGCATGTGAATTTTCAAGCATCTAATGAACGTTGAAAAGGAAGAAAAAAAGTCTATCTTGTGATTAAAACTTCGCTTGAAATTATTTTTGGAGTGTATGAAAACTCTGCTCATACATAATACTTCTTTCAAAATGCTATTAGAGCGTTTGTTAGTGAAATCCTATGAAATTTATTTTATTAGGTGAATTTGGACAAAGTCTTAGAACTTATAATTGCAATTTTGCTGTTATTTTACTTTTTATTTTGGGATTGGGATCACTTTGTTTACCCTTGTTTCAGGAAGATGTAACTAAGCCATTGTTGGAAGTCACAAGGACTGCAATGTTTCATGATTGCACCCTTTTATGTGGTTGGAGGTAGAACGACTATCATTCTTCTGAATTATATCATTCCCTCTTGCTATGGTTACCGAAGAACCTAATGCATGAGCAGTATTATTAATAAACGTTTATTCTAGTTAGAAGTGGTGTTTACTTGTGCATGAAATGTTGAGGTATTTACTAAGATAATGGACTCTTCCTGTATCTAGGACTTCATATGCAGTTTTTTTTATACTTGACAAGTTTAATCCTAGATAATCCCGTCAGCAATTGGTTTCTAAATTAGCTCCCCAATTGTTTCCAAAGTGTATTAGACGTTCATCTGGTGCTTGAGGTGTTTGGTTCAATTTAAAAATGCCACATATCACAGTTTGTAACATGTCTGCCAGAACAGCAAGGCTTGGTAACGTGATTCAATTTTACTTGAATTGTTGTCCTTTTTATTTCCTAAGATCCTTTTTGTGCTTATATATTATGGCCATGGATTTTAAGCTATCATGATTACCTTAATTTGAAAGGCAGAGAGTTTAGCTAATACTAGCTAGAAAGTTGAAAATTTTTATATCTCACAAATGTATGCAACTGGGTCTATAAGGTTTGAATTTTTTAAGAAAGAAAGATGAATTTTCCTATTATGTACGTGTATTTCCTAAGAGGTTTCAGACATAGATAAATAGACCGCTACTATTTATATGAAGATGGACGTTGAATAGAGGCTCAAGAGAGCTTAGAAATTTGAAGAATCCTGTAAATGTACTCTAGCACCACTATCTTCTGGCCATCGTCCGACCGTTGTTGTTAGACCATTGCCTGACGACGCCATCGTCCAAATGCCACCATTTGACCCTAACAGATCATCACTGTCAGACTGTCGCCATCAGACATTTGCGGCTTGATTCGAGCAGTCGGACCTTTGCCTCCTGATTGTCATTGTGGGACCTTGGTTGGCCAATTGTTGCCATCAGACCTTCACTACTAGATCGTCATATCGGATTGTCTTTGCATGACAATAGTCGTCAGACCACTGCATCATCAGATCACCAATGTCATATCACCGTCACTCAACCACCGTTGTCTAACGATCGTAGTCATCAGACCACCATTTGATTGCCGCCGTCCAATCATCGTTATTGGGCTGCTGCTGTTTGACCAACATTGTCAGTTTGTTTTCACTTGACTACATCTGTTCAAATGCTTTTCACTCTATACAAGTTCAACGATATTTTCTACCACCTCTCCATACTCTTTTAATATTGCCGTCTCCAAATTAAGGGACTAACAAACCTTTGTAATCAATGTTTACATGGTGGAATCATTTTAGCTGGACATGGCCCTATGACTTTTCCCCTTTTCTTAAATTTTTCACATTAAAACTCTTACGCCACTAGTGATATTTTCATTTATATGTTTATGTTGGATCCTAGTGTAAAGTTAGGACACAATTCTCTCATTGTACCTCCATGAATTTTCTAGCCGGCAATAATAATATTCTTGGAAATGGTAGAATATATATCAACATTGTGCCTCACTATTTTATACTAGATTACACAACTCTTGGAAGTGTCTGTGCTTCATTGGCTACATCTTTCAAAAAAATTGCATTTATTAATTATTTAGTGTGCAAATTCCACATTTTTTAATATCTTCATGATTCTTTCTCTTGATAGCTCTTTCTTTCTCCTGCAGCTTGGAAGAATGTGGTCGGTACTTGGAGACTATAAAAGTATATGAAAACAAACCTGCAGATAGTATTCGTGAACAAATCGATACAGACTATTTATCACGGGTATGTATCTTCCAACCAGGGGCAAAGCTAAGATTTTTTTCATGTGGGGCACAAATTATAGATTCTAAAAATACGCTCAACTTTTTTATTCGGGCTTAAGATCGACATCGACGCGCAGTTTTAAAAACTTTTTTATTAGAATTGTTTTAAAAAAAAGATAAATTATATAATAAATAAAATTATAATCAAAAGCACGTGCTATTCATATACGTGTGTCATGCTCAATCACTTCCGTCTTTCTTTTGAAGTATCTCTCAATGACTATAAAATAAATAAAAAAATCACTTTAGTTTGCATTAAAAAATAAAGGTTGTGTAAATTAGTTGTTCTTAAAAATATTTTTCCATATTATAATTCTTAGATAAGATGTATATTTTTATGTCTATAAATGTATGTTTAAAATTATTTTCATCAAACATATTTTTTCCAACATGTTTTATTGCGTTAGTTTGTACTATCAATTGACTCCTATTACACATAAAATGATTATAATAAACACACATTTTAACAGCCATCAGCTCCTTCTTTTTCCCTGAAACTTCCATTTTGTGTCCATTTTATATTGCTTACCAATTGACACTACACGTTAATGTTGCTTGCTAATACCGACAGAATTCTTGATTTCTGATTAGTTTCCAACACATCTTTTTGTTGATTGAAGCTTTGTCATTTTGCAGCTGACCCGTGCACTTACAGCAGTTCGACATGTTAACAAGACAGACGTAGTTACTCTTGGCTCCACTTTTACGGTATTACTTAATATAAACTTCTGTCTTCTCATTTTTAGCTTTCTATGCCAATATAATGGCCTTACTAGATGATATATTTATGGTGCTGGTAAGCACCAAAGTAAATAATACTACTAAATATACAAAAGGAAAAGTCCTAAACAATTTATTTATAGATGAAAATTTCTAAACATTAGTTAGAATAATAATCTTAACATATATCATTATATCACTTTTACGTTATCAACTCATAAAATGTGGACATAAAACCCTTCCCAACTTTGATTTGTGAAATGCAGTCACTTGCAGGTATAATGGACGCGTCCATGGAAGATTTAGCTCGGTGCCCGGGTATCGGCGAGCGCAAGGTATTTTCTCCTGTTTAAACTATGGAACCACTAAAAAAGTTCGTTTTAATTCCAAAATACTCGTGCTTTTACGTTTTAAAATGTACTTTTTGAATGATCCAAGAACCGATTAACCGAATACTGGTTGAACTAGTTAGATTTAGACTGCAAGACTGCTTCTTGGCTTTTGTTTGGGACAATTTTCTTATTGCTTTCTAAAACGGCTTTCTAGTATAAAAATTTCTTATTCAAGAGTTTTTTTATACTAAAAAGCTGTTTTAGAAAGCTGCAAAAAGTTGTCTCAAACAAAGCCCTCGTTCATTTCCGGCTTGTGAAGTATACAAGCATATAAGAATTAATTATTACTTATTGTGCTAAATTGCTACATTTTGGTAGTTAAATTTATGCTTAAAAATTGATGTTATTAAAGGATAGATAAATATAAAATTTTAATGAATGGAGTTTTTTTTTTTATTGAATTATTTTAAAATTTGATTTATAACTGTGCACGTTTATTGCAGGTGAAGCGCCTTTATGATACATTTCATGAACCATTCCGAAGGGTTTCTAATCGACCGTCCACTGTTACGATCGCTGAAGCTTTTAGCAAAGGTAAAAATGAAGCGAAGGAGGCTCTGAAGGATGATGGGGAAAAGACAGAAATCGAGGAAGGGAAGTCTGTGGCTTCTAAGGCTGAAAAAGAGAGTAGCAGCAATAATGTTCGTTCAGCTTTAGATGCTGCTTTTGCTAAATATGCAGAGAGAGCTGGGAAGCGTGATAGGAAAGGAAACCCAGTTAGAAAAGAAAATGGGTAATGGTGGTGATAGCAGCAAGTCTTTAACTGATGCAGCAAATTGAGGATAGTTTACTGAATATCTAGAGAGATTATTATGTGCGGTGTCTGGACCGTCTGGAGGCGAATTCAGACTTGCCACATGTGTGGCACATTCGGATTTACCTCTTGATGAATCCGGATGTAATAATCTACCAAAACTGTATTATATGTTAAAAATATTAATCCTTGATGACGGTTGTTGAAGGCCGGTGGAATGGATTTATTTTGTTCAACTTCACATGATTTAAGCTTTGTTTGTGATAATTTTTTTATTACTATTTAAAGCAATTTTTAGTACACAAATTTTAATTTTTTAACTAAAAAATTATTTTAAGAAATAGAAAGAAAGCCATCTCAAACGAAATCTTAGACTTTTTATTACTTTTTAAAGCAACTTCTTAAGTATAAAAATTATAATTTTTTGTCAAAAAAATTTTAAGAAACAATAAGAAAGCCGTCTCAAACAAAACCCATATCCGGTAACTAACTCTTGTCCAAACATCAAATGAACAGAAGGTTCGGATCGATTGATCATCCATTATACATTTTTAAATATATATATTTTTGATTGAATTTAAGTCCACAATTAACAAACAAAACTAAAGTTTGGATTGGTTTTTAAAATAAAATCAAGAAATTTATAAAAAAATGAAGCTATTAAAATAATTGAAGAGTTTAATGCAATTAATAGTAATAGAATTATTTGCAACAATAATCTACAGGTCTTATAGCAGTACTTCAGTGACAATATTTTGTTAGTTAAAGTCTACAAATGCAAACAAAACTGAACTGAATGCATTACCAAAGTAAATAACAAAGCAAGGTACATACTAATCTAACATTTCACTGTAGATTATTGCCTGATTATATGTTAAATAAACCTCTATTTTAAGAAGCTCAAATGCTCACATTTCGTTTGATTATTCTGACTTCTTCTCCCTTGTTTCCCCAATGCCTTCAGCAGATGGTGGTAGACCACCATGCTTCTTACTTCTTCCCTGGCAATAAGAAAGTTAACAAGAATGATGAAAATCCAACATTTGTGAACTTGTGATCAGCAGTGGAATTAGGTTTTAGAACTATATCAAAGCTATTATACTGTATGAGAATTTCTTCTAAATTTAAGCTGTGACTTGGGGTGTACACGAGTCGAGTAATGACGCTATCGAGCTCGACTCGTCAGTCAAAACACCAGCTCGAACTCGAGCTCATTCTATTATAAATGAGCTCGAGCCAGCTCACAAGCCTTGGCGTAGCTGGCATTAAATGCTGCAGGATACATTAAATGATATAGCATAACTTTAATATTTAATATGTTGTTATGCTCGGTTCATTCTCTAGCCCACCCGATTCCCGAAGTTTGACTTCAGCACATTTTAGGCGGGATTATAAAAAAATTATTTTCATTTTAAGAATGATTTAGGCGGGATTAAAAATATATATTGAATTTTACTAATATTTAATTTAATAAATAAAAAAAATTTGGACCAGCTTGCGAGCCGAGCCTCATCAAGTTCAAACTCAAGCTTGTTTAATAAACGAGCTCGAGTTTGAGCTCAAGCTCGTCTCGTGAGCCCATAAACAAGTCAAGCTCGAGCTAGCTCACGAGCTGGCACGGCTCACTTACACCCTAGCTGTGACCCCTCTGCCACTTTTGACTCCTAGAATACTCGAGAAATAGTTCTAGTCATAGAAAAGATTACCCCAGATGATTTGTCATGACTGTTAACAGAATCATTCTTCTCAATGAAGGGGGATACTAACTTGGACGCCTTGTTAAAGAAAGCAAAACCCTCAAGATCTCCATTTCTGATGCTTGCTTCAAGCTACAAGAGATAGAAGGTTAGAAACTTAGAATCATATGAAACAATAATCAGGTGCAGGAAAAAAAAAAGTATAGATTACCTGAATGTGAATAATGCAAACAAGGATACCAGTAATAGGCAGCCAGCTTTCATCCAGAGATAGTGATAGATTTGTCCTGAATAATTAGGAGATATGATGATCTTCATCACTAGTATTTAGTTTAACACATACTTTTGAAGAAGAATTTGATGAGAGGAACAGAAAGCATGCGTTGGACTAGCTATGTCTTGAAGCAACTGTAGAATTTATCAGATTTCTCAACTTTCTATTTATTTTTTGAAACAGTTTTTTAGTACAAAATTTTTTTGAAATAATTTTTTTTTAATAAAAAGTTGTTTTAGAAAGTAATGAGAAAGCTGTTCCAATTAAAACCTCAGTCATCACCATTTCATATTATATGAAAAATAAGGAAGTAGAATAATTTGAATATTGTATAATTTTTCTTGGAAGACAAAATTGAACATGCTATTTTCTCAAAAAGATAGCAAGATTTTTTTTTATCATATTAGATTAACATACATATAACAAAATTTTTATGTATTTATATTTTTAATATCTAAATATTTATATTTATTTATATAGTATTTAAAGCTCAGAATCACATAAAAATATCATAAATACGAACTTATTTGAAATAAAATACACTTTTTAAGGCATTTGTTTTGAGGGGATTTAAATAATAAAATAATATATAAATAAATATAAAGATTTGTGTGTTAGAGATATAAGTACATAAGAATTTTGTGGTAGCATGTAAATCCCCCTAAACAAAATCAGAAAATCTGATATGCCATTTCAATAACACTAGATGGAAGGACAAGATATTTTATGCATAGAGAAAAAGATATATGGCCAAAGTTTTTGCAGTGATGCCTTGCGTTTGTTTCATAGTTCATACAACCCCAGGACGATTTTATCTCTGGGAATGCCGATTTGATTGCTAAAAGAGCTATTCAAGCCACACAATTGTCAGGATATATGTATAAGGTTTCAAAAGAAAACAATTGAAGCATGTCCTATAGGTCATCAAAAGTAGTTCAACCACTATTATGTTTCTATAATTGTATTTAACACAATCATAGATTGAGCTTTTTTATGGAATCCTATATTGCATTCAAATTAATATAAAAAAAGTACTAATTTAAATTCATAAACTATATAATATCCACACAGTTTATAATACTTCTCAAAATGGATCATAATAACAAACTCAAACAAAGGTCTTCAAACACTATAGTTAACTTAAGCTTCTAGCAAGCCAATTAGCATACATGACAAATATATTCTGATTTATCAAAAAAATTCTTCAGAAGGGAGTTTCTCTCAAGGGAATATAAGCAAAATTTTAATCAGGATATCCTAATACTCTTTTTTTCTTATGAAATTCTAATGTAAACCGTTCTCTTTAATCTAGAAAGGTGACACAAATGATGTCCAAGCTCAAGAATCCTATAAGAGAATGCCTTTTAATTATCATGCAGTAAATTCCTTCATATGGAAATATTGGATATTCATAAATATGATTGTATTGACAAGTGACAGTCCAATGATGATGATGATAAAGTGAACACAGAAAGAAAAAATAATGCTAGGCTTGCCTTCTTATAATGTAAAACTTTACCAAAGGAGGAGTTCAATTCCAGCATTTCATTGCAAGTGCCTACAACTGGATGACATTGAACACTTCTGGAATAGCCCCCGCCTATACTATGAATATTGAACCTTTTAATACTAGCATGAAACTGGAATAATCCATTCCTGTATTATAGTGGATCTCTTCTTTTGTTTCTAGTATAATTCAGCATTTCCTAGCTGATTACCTAAATTATCTGATCTTAAAAACACTTGACCGAGCACAGAATTTACAACTAATCTTTGCTGAGATTAAACATTGGTTAACGAACTTCATTGAATTTCAGATAAAGAAAATGGGGATGGCGCTCATGGCTTGAGCGCTTAGGTTTTCCGAGTTTGTTGTTCACATTAGCTGCAGCACACCAACAGGCCTTCTTACAAAAATATTGGCAGCAGAAATTCAACGACCAAAAAACTAACGCGCAGTAAGTAGGCTCAAATCATAAGAAGAAAAAAAGCAAACAGTTCAAAGAAAATCAAGTTCAGAGTTACAGAAGCAATCAAACCTCAAGTACGGAGCCAAATAAACAATGGAGTAAACAAGATAGCGCGGTCTGCTAGTATCAAGCCACGCAAACACCCAGCTCTGTTCCATGAGTAACACAATTAAGCATAATCATTCATTCGAAAGCTTGAGATTGAGTTGAAGAGAGTATCGAAAGAGAACATAGCATCAACTCACCAACCAATTGAAGTAAGGAATGAAACCGATGATCCCCATGACGGCGAATCTCGCATCAGTAGAATCAATGGCACCGCCCTCATCCTCATCTTCAGAGCCAGTGGAATGTATCGGAGCTACAAGCGAAGTGAGGACGCACGATCCGATCGCGGCGGCAAAAGGAGCGTCGTGTAGGAGCTCCGCCCTGCACAAGTTTTTCCCTCTCCTGCCGCGCTGGGAGAAATCTCTAGGGTTTTTTTTCCTTTTTCTTACAATCAGAAATTAAAAAAAGTATCGAGAAGAAGATTTACTTGATTTCCGATTCGCTTCAACTTCCTCCGGTTTAAGAATCTAAGAGCGGCGGGTTGTGGGGCGCTGCTGCAAGGTTTGAAGGAGATAACGCAACTGGGTGGGTGAGAAGACGGTGGAGCTGCCGCGGTGATGGTGGCGGCGGATGAAATGATCATATTTGGAAGGATTCTTGTAGGCCAGAGCGTGAGTAGGGAAGGCGACCGGGAGATTTGCTCCTCCAGGCTGGCAAGCCGAACCAGGAACAATATATATATATATGGCTTCCTTTGTGTTAACTTTCTGTTTTTTTAAATAAATTTTTTTCTAAAAAAAAATTTGAATTAAAATTTTTTATTAAAAAATAATAAAAAAAGCTGTCTTAAATAAGCCTTAAACTTTATTTAGGATTACTTTGAAACACTACTTTTCATTGTTATTAAAAAAAAAAAAGTCCCAAGGTCTAAGAATATATAGAAAACTATTTCCAATGAAATCTTAATACCATTTCCATCGACAAACTTACAATCAAACAATTTTTATAAACTTCACATACAGAAATTTTAAATGAACTAGTTCAAATAAAATTTTTGATAAATTATTGTTGATCTCATAACATACACCTCTGATATGATGATGAACACCATGCTAACTCAGGCTTCGTTTGAGACGGATTTTTATTCTTTCTTGAAACAATTTTTTAGTACAAAAATTTTATTTTTTGTACTAAAAAACTGCTTTATAAAGCAGTAAAAAAATCGTCCCAAATAAAACCTCAATCAAATTTCAAGATCAATGATAAGATTGGGTGATGATGATTGTTACATACAACAACAAGAAATATGAATGATTCTGACTCAGCATTCATTTGGGACGATTTCTTTATTACTTTATAAAGCTAATTTTTAATAAAAAATATACTAAAAGCAGATAAAAATGATGATCTAAAGCTGTCTCAAATAAAGCCTCAAACCAAAAATGATCATTAGGGAGAAAAATGATCAAGATCGAGTATGAATCCTGCTCGACTTTTTCTCTGTCTCTTATATTTGTTTGGAACGAACTTCTTATTACTTTTTGTTTTAAAAAATTATTTTAAGAAAGGTAAAAATTCGTACAAACGAAACCTTACTGTCCAGGCTGCTCCATAATCTACTCTAGACGCCGACGCCTCTGACTTCTTCATTATCCCTTCTCCATGTTCTCGTCTTTCTCCTAATTTTTCTCTGTAATTACATATAACATGGGTTGAAACTGCATTCATCTTATCTTCACCATCTTCATCATCGGTAAAACTTGATTTATCGCTACACTCACCTCCGCCCACATCACTAGCAATCCACTGGCTGTTAAATCTATTTTACGGTTTTCTCTCCGCTAAAGCAGGCCTAAAAGGTCAGGCAATCGCCGGTTAAAACTCAATTCATGCTTGCGAATTACAGGAATTCCAATTCACCTGTGGCTTCCGCCGATTTGACAAGACACAGAACATAGGGTTCGCTTATCTGGAGGAATTTCGGCATCGTTGATTTGTAGAGGAGTTGCATTGATTCTTGGGAGGTAGATCTTCGGTGGAGGTGGAGTTTGAAAGATTGGAGTCTCAAAGAAATGTGATCATACCTTCTCCTTAAAAGCGGTGCCAAAATCTCTCCGAAAAAGCTAGCCCTCGTGGTTCTGTAGTAGCATGTCCGATCAATCGAAACTCATGTTCCCAAGCACGGATCAAGTTTTTGCCGGCGATAGCCTCCACTTTGAGGCCTACTTCGATGGAGAGAAAACCCTAAAAGGATTTCCCGATGAGGGGATTGGAGTGCAATGTGATTGGCCAGATGATGTGGGTGAAGATAAGTGTAGTGACAGATCAAGAATTTTTTATGACGGAGAGGATGAATCTGAAGAGAAAATAGCTTCATCCCAAGATGTCGATACTGGGAACTGGAGGTAGATGAGGCGGAGGAAGATAAGAATGAGAAGAAAGGATCAACCGATCCGAAACTTGTGGAGAAAGCGAAGGAGAAGGAGAGATAGAGTGGTTATGTGAGAGAGAATTTGTTTTATTCTTGGCTTCTTTCAAGTGGTTATTAGAATTAAATTTATTTTGAGAAATATTTTTTATTTTTTTTAATTTGGAGAAAGATTATCTTATATGTATATATATTTATTTAAATGATTCCAATAGCTAATAGTTTTTATTATTAAATTATATGTATATATATTTATGTAAATGATTCTAATAATTAATAATTTTGATCATTAAAATTTTTTGGTTATTATTTTAATGTCACATCATTTCCTTTTTATTTGCCATCCAATTTAATTCAATAATATTTCATTCAAAAATTTGATTATAGATTAAAGTTTTGTTTGGGACACTTTTATTTTTTAGTAAAAAATAAATAAAAATTTTTTGATCGATTTTTTTTATTAAAAAATATTTAAAAAAATAGTAAGAAAGCTATTAAACTGTTTTAAAAAATAGTAATAAAGCTTTAAAAAATTTGGCTTAGTTTATGGAACAATTATAGACATTTTTATTGGGTTGGTACACACATCACATATACAAGATTCAAATTCAAATACTTTGGTTGGTAGCATGAGCTCCCAAGCAACATATCAAGGTGAGCTGCCTAGCAATTCTGGACAATGTGCGGTGGTTACAAAATGGATGGCATGATGAGGAGAAAATTATTATGTGCAGAGGTTAGACGCAGCTCTACGTCCGGAGGCGAATCAGGTGAAGCCACGTGAATGGTACTGAGCCACAGTATCGAGCAGTACCGAGCCACAATATCGAGAAGTACCGAGCCACGGTACTGAGCCAAGGGGTGGCGTGGTACATTCTGATTGGTCTCCATATGGCATTGAGCATCCGCACATAATTATTTTTTCACGATGAGAGATGTCTAAGATCTTGCAGCTGGTGACTTCTAATAAACACGATGCAGAATGATAGGGTCAGGTTCAAGCTATAAGAGATAGAAATACCAGGGCAAGCGAATTAAATAATTAATCTCTCTCTATAACATTAGAGTTTTTTAGAAGCTTCCCGGATAAATAGTAATAAATTATCAAAGTTTTATATAAAAATAATTTTAAAACTCAACTGGGAAGAATGGGTCTCACATTGAAGAGATTATTACTCCGAGTCGGAGCTGCGTCCAGATTTTTTGAGTGTGCACAGTAACTACAAGTCTACTTCCTCAATTTATCGGTGGACTGCAGTTTTTAATATTGATTACATGCTTTTGCTTATATGTGAATTTTAGCATTGGAGAGTTTTGTTGAATTTTCCTGCGGGTAATGTGCCATCAGCGGGCGTTCAAATGTTGTCCACTATTGCATGCAAGTGGGCTGCATTCAATGTGTATCTTGCTTGTAGGCAGGTTGTAGCGCTTCTTTACAGGTCGCCGTGGCTTCTTACATGCAAGTTGTCATGCACTACAAGTTTTATTAAATATGCTTGCAGGTTATCAGTGGGTATCCAGATGTCGCTAGCTGTTGTATACGGATTGTTGCACACACGACACAATTTTCTAGTGCTACTCATAAATATTTGCATTTGTTGTGTATTAACTAGCTTTACTTGCTGGATGTTAGCGTATTTGCTAGATAGTTATTTGTTGTTTATTGTAAGGGTGAGATGCATTCACTGCACGTTGCTATGTGAACATTTACAAAAGAGTTGACGTGTTCGTATGCAGGCAGATGTTAACTGTAAGGAGATTGCATCATCCATTGCGTAACTTTCATGCCTCGCTCATGAGCATGTCATTGTATTCTTCACAATTTCTTTGAGTGCATTCGTAGGGTATCTGTCAGTGTTATTATTTACAAGTGGACGTGCATTCATATGCAAATTGACGCTGATCGTCGAGTGAGTTGCATTCATCGCCAATTCCTCCCTACCTATTGATTGATGAGTTGTTGCATTCGTCATTAATGTCCTTATACACGTTGATTGGTGAACTGTTGCATTTGCTAGCATGCATTTTAGCGTTCACTATAAGAATGTTGTTACATTGTTAATTCCCCCATGCATGTTGGCTGGCAAGCTGCTATTTTCATCGTGTATTAACATTCAACATTCATAAGGATCACATCATATATATGCAAACTGGCTAAAATCAGTCGTAGAGAGATTGTTGAATTCATTGGAGTTTTACTCATGAGCGTGCTATTACATTGAGCATATCATCACATTTCTTGCAATCCTCTTATGTACGCTTGAAGGAAACGTTGTTGCATTCATTGTTGATTTCCTTCGCATGCGTTCATTGGCAACTTATTATGCTCGTTGTACATTGACTTTCAGGGTTTGCAGGGTTCTACTGCATTTATCTGCAAGCTAGTTATCGTTGATTGAAGGTACATTATAGTGTTTGTCTCATGTTGCTTGTATATGTTTGTAGGGAACCCATAACATTTATAGCTCATCCACTGTCATTGCTTGTAAGTGGATTAGCATGCTCATTTGAAAGCTAGTTGATTATTAGGCGTAGGGAGACTACTATACTCATTGTATGTTACTCCTAGCATCTCCTTTGTTTAAGGGGAATTTCGGGAGCTAAAACTTTCCTATCACGTTATGAGAGCGTGCAGGATACATGTCGAATAACACCGTGGCCGTAATCTTCAACCCTACCACTCTACGAGAGAGCGTAGGAGTCTTCAATGTACCTTTTTGAAAGAAGACACAAGTTTTCCCCACAGGCACTATAGCTCGTGCATGAGTACTTAACTTTGTCCTCGTCACACTACGAGAGCGCTTAGAGGCCTACTCGCCTCGTCGCAAGCATTGCACTATGTTCCCTCCCACCACGCTCAAGAGTGTGTAGGGGAGTCCCCCGGTATGCCACAAGCACCGAAAAATAGGACTTGAGAGTTTTGAGTTCGAGGAGTCATTATACCCGAGCAACAAGGGTGTGATTACGGCACGAGGATCAAGGCAATGCACAAAAATATATTTTTCACTTTTTTTTTATCTTCTACTTTTTTTACAAATAATAATAATATTATTATTATTAATAGTTTTGATGACGGCACGAGGATGTGGAAGGTCCTTCGCACTGTTGGGTGTTGATTTCTGGAGTTTATCGGTGGACTTTTTTTTATTTTTGTTTTATTTTTTATGATTATCATAAATTGATTTCTAGAGTTGACAGGTGGACTTCAACAATCGAGAGGTTCCGACCACGGTTGGTGCCGGCTAGGAGATCGGGACAGTGTTGTCGTTGGCCGAATGGGC